GTAACTGTAACGGAATACAGTTACTCATATTTTGTATTTTAAATACGTAACGGCGGTACATGTATTCTGTTACTCCCCAACACTGCAGACGTGTGACATCCAGTTAAACTATGGACTAAATGAATGACAGTCTGAGACAAAGTAAAATAAATAACAGCATTTAAAGGATCGCGAGTGTGTTTATCAAGTTTAACTGCAGCTCGTCTGATAGTTGCTGTGACATTTTATATACAAATACACCGACATTGCAGTGGCACTGTGAGAGAAGTCAGAGGACTGCCACAGTCCAGTCTAAAGCAGATCCACCAGGAAGATGTTTCAGAAGAGAAATCGCTGGTCTTCAAAAACCTTCAACAACAAACTAATCCTCACTTTTATTTTTTTAACGAACAATCTCTTACCTGGGAAAAGTTGAGGCATGGATAGTCATAGCCGTACCACGGCACTCCCATCACTATCTTCTTTGGACTGATCTTCAGATTCAAATACTGGTCATAAGCTACGAAGAACGACACCGAGTATTTCATGTCATTGTCTCAAGTAGATTTACAACAACACGCCTTTCTCCTGTTCTACTATAAAACCACAAACCATCGAGTGTCTGACGGAGAGGAGCGTTTGCCATCGCAATGCAGTCGCCGGTGATCTGGCTCTGCTCGTCGTAGGACATCACAAACAGCAAGTCGCAGGATTCGGCAATGGTTACGTAATCGTAGCAGCGCTTATCAATGCATTTTGGTGACCAAGCGACATCAAATGAGACCTGAGGAATCAGGAAAAGGTAAAAATCAACACGATGATAATTTTAAAATCACTCAGAAAGAGCTCATAGGCCTTTATTCATTTACCCAGTCTTGCCAAATGACTTTTTATCTGATTTAGTGCTCAGATAAGATAATTATAGTGGATGATGTGTTTGTAACGATATAGAAAACTAAGCAGGTCCTGTGAAGACTGGTGAAGCTGGGTTTAGTATGGATTCAAACTGAGAGACTGGCCTTGGAAAATGACCGTTGTCTCCGAGTGCCCAGTCGTTCCGCTTTACCTGAGATCCTGGGATCTCCCTGTGAAACATCTCAGTGGTCTCTTTGACCAGAGATGTTAAGGCATAGTACTCTGGTGAGCCCTCTTCCACAGCTTGTTCAATGTCTATGTTAATCCCGTCCATAAACTGACTCTTGGCCAACGTGACCTTGTCTGTTATCCACGCAGTTCTGTTGTCCTGGTCCACAAGGTAGGAGAGGGGGACGTCGCCTTTACCCAATGACACAAAAAGATAGACAAATGTACAAAAACTCAATGAGAAGAAGCACCACATACAGTACCGTGCAAAAGTATTGAGCCATGCCTGGTTTCTTTATATCCACACTTTCTTGCAATTTATTTCAGTTGTCTTGAGCAACAGTCTTTCTTTGGACATTGGTTGATTGTTCCCTCATCAGTCCTCGTATCTGATCGTTTTCACACGCTGACCTATGAATCACTCGGACATAAAATGCAGCTAATTGAAGGGATGAACCAGGGTTGTGTCTACACATAACAATTTGTCAGAAAAAAAACACATTTTAAATATTATCTTTGGGCACTTTGTTACCAATCTGTGACAAAGACGCACAAATTGTTCTAATTTCTTTATCTACAACTATGAATCCAAATTTGAAATTTGTATTTTGCTTCAAACCATCACCAGTATGTACAGGAGGAGGTCAGGAGAGGTGCAGAGCAGTGATTGTTGACAGAAAGAAATCGTGTTTAAGAAAGTTCAGGGTTTTTTGCTGAGAAATAAAAGTGGTAATACCGAATATTGACTCTTAAGCTTGTTAGAATTTTAAAAATCTATTTTTTCTTTGTGTATTGTGATTCCATGTATGTTTGCATATGTTTCAATAAATTTCCTATTAAAATAAAAAGTGGTGAGGGGTGCTGCTGTGAACTGAACAGTCACAGGACGTACAGTGGGGCAAAAAAGTATTTAGTCAGCCACCGATTGTGCAAGTTCCCCCACTTAAAATGATGACAGAGGTCAGTAATTTGCACCA